ATCAAGGCCCCGCCGCCACCCCGCACCAGCCAGGCCGAAGGCACCCTGAGCACCCACGGCCCCCTGCACTAGCAAGGCCGCTAGCGCTCTAAGCGCCCGCGCACCAGCCAGGCCGCAGGCACCCTGAGCACCCACGGCCCCCTGCACTAGCAAGGCCGCTAGCGCTCTAAGCGCCCGCGGCCCCACCCCCCATGCCCAATCAAGCCCCTGCCGCCATCCCCACACACACCAGCCAGGCTGCGAGTGCCCTGAGCACCCGTGGCCCACCCCCCCAATCAAGCCCCCTGCCACCCCAACTTACCCTGGCTGCTGGCGGTGGCAGCAGCAGTGAGCACATGCTGCTTCCCACTCCCGGCCCGACTGAGAGCTGCTGGGAGCTGGGGGTGGGGCTTGCAGCTCCTGGGCTTGTTAACTGCCGGAATGGCTTTCCTGCCCGTTCTGGCTGGAAATGAGCCCTGCGGGTAATCATATTAGTTGTTTTTCATCAGTCTGTAGTCTTCAGTGCTGCTGCTGTTGAGGGCTGGCAACACTGGAGTTTGTGTGTTTTATAACCACCCAAAGGCAAGCAAGAGGTATTGAATGTTTTAACACAAATAACAGTTCCTATGTATTAAAAGATATGTTTTGCAGTATGGCTTTCACTTGGTTTAAGAAATCCCTGTTGATTGGTAGTGTGAATTTTGTTTGGTTGGTTAAACGCGTCTTTCAGTAAAAGCAATATTTCTGAAGGATCGTAGGTTACCTTGTTGATGTGCATGTGGAGCTTCAGCAGACACCATCTCAGGAGGGGCCTTCGCTCTGGTTTCAGATAGGAGGAATGCCTCTTTTGAAACAGTGCCTGGTACCTGTGATTTACCCATATTAAAAATAATACACAAATTTAGATTGGCCTGCTGTCTGACTAAACAGGTCCATCGTTTCAATCTGTACAGAGATTATACATCAATTAATCCAACCAATTAATTGACTGTACATCAAAGCCCTGCTTCTCAATGATGTTAGGTTTTTCTGTTGACTCTTAATTCAGTGTTTTCACTTTTACCTTATTCTGTTAAAAATCTGTCCCTGCAAATTACATTTTCAGTAAATCACACACTGCATTGCTAATTACAGTGTTCTGTTTTTCACTTTGCCATTGTACTAATCGCTGCTTCCTTTCAATTTCATGGAAACAGAAAAATGTCTTTCTCTGTTCAACTCATCACCTTCAAAGTGAAACTGTTGCTTTGAAAAACCTCACATTAAAATCTCTACATTTCCCACTAGGAGTATGATGAGGAATGGGCTAAGAAGATCCAGAGTGAGAAGTTTCGATGGCACAACTCACAGTGGCTGGAAATGGTGGAGAGTCGGCAGATGGATGAGAATGAGCAGTATTTGTATGGGGATGACCCTATTGAGCCCTATATCCACGAAGGGGACATTTTGGAGCGACCTGATCTTTACTACAATGCAGGTAAGGTTGCTATAGGTATACATACTTTCCTCTGCTGCCTGGATTCTTTATATTCATCTCACGGAGGAGATCCACAGAGTACCCAATCTCAAAGACAGGCTCGGTATAAATTTTTACTCCACAGCTAGCCAGGCTTGATATTTTTTTGTTTAAGTGTGTAGTACTTGAACTGAATATTCTATTTATTATTATTACGACAACAAGCCATAAGATGCACATAATAATGATAATAATAATAATAATTACTATTATTTCGATTTATTAATCACTCGTTCCAACACACCTGCGGGCTCAGAGTGATTTTACAGTTACTCTTTTGACAATTGGACTAACAATGTTTGTGGGGATAGGGAAGACAACATGCAGCATTTTTTAATTACACACACATTGCAGCGAGCCGGGGCTACATCTGCGGGCTGGATCAGTTGTGTTCCGACGGCATGTATTCTTGTCGGCTGGCTGATGACATCAGGGCTTCTTGATGTTGTGCTGCCACACTGCCACCGCCTGGCCGACTCGCTCCACTGCAGGGAAGCCGACACAGCTCTTTCATCTTTCCGATCTCGCCGCACCTCAGAAGTCGCACTCGGCATCTAACACCTTCCCGAAGGGAGGGGTGTGCCCTCCCCCTTACGGGTGGTCCCCAATTTATCTACTCGCCGAAGCTTTTGAATTGCTGGGTAGACGATGAGCTAGGACAAGGCTTGGTTGCTCACACCAGCACGGGGCTAGAACTGACAAAGCATGGCAGTTCAGATGTTATCATTAAGCAAGGGGGAAACCCCCTGCGCACCGCTCCCGTGATGAAACAGTATATATATAAAAACCGATATAAAAATAAAACTCTGTAAAAATACAGTCGTACGTAATAAAATAAGAAAGAAGAAGCAGAGACTACTAGGGACCTATTGTTACGTATTTGATCGTGTGCTTCGAATATAATAACATGCCACCCGGAATTTCGCCACAGATTCAGTAACTGTCTCGTTCCCATCGATTAACAGTCTGTTACACTGCTCACCAGCTGTTTGTCCCACCATATCTATTATGAGCGGAGTAATATATTTGTCACGGATCTTGTTATACTGCTTACATCTGAGCATCGTGTGCTCAATAGTTTCTATCTCCCCTGAGCCACATTGGCAAAATCTGTATTCAGGGGGGATCCTTTTGAATCTGCCCTCAAGCAGCGCGGAGGGGGAAGCCTCACATCTGGCTAATGTGAAGGCTTTTGTAAACTTGTGAATATCAAGCTGCGATAAATAGAACATGGGTTTCATGTGATATTTGACAGAATCCGGGGTTCTAAACGTAGGTCATCTACTGAGATCTGCCTGTCTCTCCATGTCCATCATTCTCTGCTCTAGGGCTAATATTGCTACGTCCCAACGCATTCTCAGAATTGCTTGGGGAAGATTCCAAGAGCATGTAGTTTGCTATGAACTGCTCTCAGCCATTTGGACGGAAGGTTGTCTGCAAGTAGCAGGTGGGCTAGTCCCCGAGGGCAGAAATTTAAGTAATTTTGGCTTCCATCAATATATAATCAGTATTTGATACACACCTTGGGACCTGAAGAACTGCTCTAAAAACTTTGGACTGAACCCGCTCTAAGGGGGCAAAACTAGAGGAATGAGGCCCAATAAAAGTGCCATAAAGCATCTGCCCAACTGCCTTCTTGAAAAAGTTTTTGAACCGCTGGCACATAATAGGCCCCTTTGGTGCGATAGAACTTAAGAACAGCATTGGCTATTCCCTCTAAGCTGTGGAGTCTTGTGAGCAAAAATTCTACTCTGTGAGTTACTGGCATTAAAGTTGGGAGCAAGTGATAAATTAGTTTGCTCCAGAGCCATCCTTCCTGAGCTAAGACAAAAAGGTGTGAGCCGGAGGCTAAAAAACTGTGAGCTAGCTCACACTAATTCAGCTTAGAGGGGACACTGGATGTGACATACTGTATATGGGCTTTCCTAGCCCCGTTTGGTTGAAGGACCATACCTAAGTATTTAAAGCAGGAAGCCTGCTCTAATGAGTGCCCATTTACAGACCAAATTCTTTTCTTTTGTCTAGGCCTAAAGGCCATAGGGGCTGCGGTGGCTCAAGTGGTTAAGATGCTGAACTGCAGGCTGTGGAAGGTCGGTAGTTCAGGAGGTCGAGACCCGGGGGCCGCATGACGGCGCGA